AGGCTATCAAGAATGTATTTGACAAAATCTAGTATAGACTAACATTCTATTAAGTGAAAAAAAAAAAAAGAGAGGAAAATTTAGTTTAACATTAGTTGAAAGTTTTATAATTTCTTTAATGATGTGGATTTTATGACTTGTCCCTCAAACATGAAACCTGAGCATCATAAGACATGCTCTGGTTTACCTTCCTAAGTCTAATGTTCTGTGTGTTATTATATGTGTTTGACTTGCAAGTTCTAGATGCACATGTTTTACCCATGATAATACAAATGCTATGCAAATGTATCTTATTTACAGACAAACAACCTTTGCTTGCTTCAAAGCTATGCAAAATGTCACTTTCCTAAAATGAAACTCTGCACAAAGTAAATATATAGAAAATGAATGGTATTTAATAGTCTGCATGAACATTACCAAATTCCTTAAAATAAAATATAATTTGAATAGCATCTATATTCTGATAGGTTCCTCTCAGAGCTGCTCAGATTTTTAATAGTTTTGTCTGGAGGATTGGGGAAATCAGTAGGCTATGTCTAAATTTCTACTTGTTCAATGTGTAATTAGCAAATAATGTTTAACTCTTTCAATACAAGGTTGATCAATGTGATGCCCTCGTAACCATTTTATGCTTGTCATAGTTTTCATGCTATAACTTTTAAATTAGTAAGTGAATGTTAACAAAATTTGGCAGATTATCAGAAAACATTACAATGCTTTCATATGCAAAATATCTAATTTTTTATTAAGTCATAAGGCTTGTAAAGCAATATTTCTCTCATCCTTTTTTTTCTTTTCACATCTTGCCTATCTATCATGCAAAATAATTTTCATCTTAACATCAAAAAATATTTTTATGCATCAGAAAATTTTGAAATTTCACATGCAAAATCTTTATAATGTCCAGATAGTTATCAAATGTTTCTTAAGAAAAACTATATTTTATCTGTTATTTTCAGTAATTAATCTCTGTACGGGTTTGGTAAATTAAACCGATCTCGCAATCACCATAAAAAATTAGGAAATAAACATAAATTATGCATCTTTCATTCTAGAATGAACACAAAAACATAAGTGTTTAGACTAAATAGCTTAAATTTTATAAGATTATACATTTATATATATCTATTATTTTTATTATATTGATCTTTCACCTGAGCCTGGCTAACAAATACAGAAATTACAATGACGTGGCTCTTGTGCATTTATGTTACCATATCAAATAACATAAAACTGACCTTTGGTCTATACAAAGTAACTTGTCTTGGCCATGTTTTAGTTGACTAGTATTTTGTAAAATACAGTCACATTTCAATTATTATACATTATATATCTATACAGATTATTGCTATTTTGAAATAAGTTCTTAAACTTATTTTTCCTAAAACATAGAACAATAAATAAATAAGTAAAGCAAACAATTATCTCTTCTAGTTACGACCTTTGTACACGGTTGCTGCTTGATGTAGGTTGCTAAGCCTTTAAAGATTTTGCACATGGAGGATATGAAACAAAATATTTTTTTTAGGTTTATATATACATTTGAATAACTAAAAATATCATAAATTGCTACATCAATACCATAGAATTGAACTATAATTTATCAAGCTTAGTAACTAAGATGTATTTTACTCTTAAAAAATATGAAATTTCGAGCAGACTAAAGACACAACTTACCTCATTAAAATATTGGTTCAAAATAAATAAATAGCACTAGCCATGTTAGAAAGGCTGAGAAAAACACAGGGAGAACATTCTGAGCTTCCAATTGGTTATTCACATTATATATAGAAGTGTATAAAAGGGAGCATTTCCAAACATGGAAAGAGGTGGGTGGGGTGCCACTGTGTTTGATTTATTACATGAGCAATTCAACATACCACATGACACACAAAAATCAATGTTTATCTGTGTTTTTTTTAAATATTTGCTTTTAAATTAAGAAATTTAGTAATGCATAGTTCTAAAATTTGAATTATAATCTACAGTTTGATACCAAACTTACTGACTTAAATTCATAAAATAGTAGTTCAATAAACTTTTGAATTCAAGTCAACAAACGAGATGACATGGCCTTTCACCTATGACCCATCTCAAAAGGATTAAGTACTAAGTTGTGTTTTCTTAATGAAGAATTGCAGAGAGTATTAGGTCAGCCGTCTATTGTGCTTGATGAGATGTCACCAAGATTGCAGCAGGTTACAACCACCATTGTCATTAAATATATTCCTTGTTAGTACCTGGTTTTCATCTCTTCTTATTTTACCATGCTTAATAATTCCAAACACCTTCTTATTATAGTTATTATACATAACCACGCATTGTAATTTGGTATACATTTTTAAAAAGAATAAGCCAACCTTATGAATATTACAAATGTTTACCTACAATGAACACAAACTTCTTGGTCAGGGCTGACCTACCACCACGGCTGGTTCTCTATATTGTTAAAAATAATTTTTTTAAGCTCTGTCATCTTTCTTCACCTTCAGATCTTTGGCATACCTCTGTCTAGAAATTTACATTTAAAAATTCTTAATAAAACATTATGTAAACTTACATATTGGAAGTCACTGGCTTCCATTCAGAAAGAAGTATCTAATCATGCTTACACAAATTTGGAAACTCGCAAATAAAAAGTTTTCACATTCATTATTACACATTTTTGTTTGATAGCTGTTACAAAATATGTTAAAATGCTCAATCAGCTTTGCTCAATGCTTAATGTGACTAGAAGTCAGTCCAGTTGATATTTCATATATTACATCTGTTCTGAAAATCAAGTTCTCTATAACTAAATACCTGATAACTAACATTTAGAATATTATATGTAATAATTATCTGCATTTCACAATACACTCCCAACTAATTTAACTACTGTATCATCTGTTTTTTTGCCCTACTACACTCTGTGGAGTAAAAGTTTACATGACTAATGATACTTCTTTTATGCTTAATCGGTGATTCTGGTGCCCCTAGCACACTTTCATAAAATATTTATCTCTAGCAAGGTAACATGAACAATTTCTGCTTCAAATAAATGAC